CGTTCTGTTGGTATTTCAGTTTATTTAATGAGGGTGATAGGCAATGTCCCTGAAAACCCTATTGACTACATGCCGGTGCGTCGTATACCTCTGTACACGCACGCGGAATATCTTCACTATTAAATAAGTATTGACAAACATTGAGTAGCATTGTTTTTACACATAACTCCGTGAGTATTGTAAATCAATTGTAAATCAATCAGTTTTTATTCACTACCGTCCGCCCATGGCAGTATGTGAATATAAAGGACTATTTCGCATAAGCCGATGTCGCTTAGGTCAGACGCCCGTGTCCACTGTTGAATGAGATCGGAAAAGATTTGTATCGTAGAATGTACACAAATTTCGCGCGGGTAAATTCCAGCGGAAAAGAAAGGGCTTTAAAATGTCAAGTTATGGGCTTCCTCCAAAAGTTGGCAATGCCAAGAGTAAACTATCACTGCCCGTTCTACAAATCTTCATGGACCTTTGCATCGGCATTTTTACTGTTCGTTAACTGTGAATTATTCAGAAGAGTACATAAATGCAAAAAATTTCCGTTTAGATCAGCAAACTGCGTCTGATTGAAGCAATTGCCAGCGAGACTTCTGGAGACTTCAAGCGCGCACTCATCACTACGCGTAAGTTAAACAAGGATAAAAGTCCCCCATCCACGTGGATTGTCTAGTCTTACACGCCCTGTCATGTCGCACTAATTTTATGTCTCTGCTTCGACAGTTACCGCACAAATCAGTCGTCCAATGGCCTTCGCTGAACTTTTGAACAGAGCGGTTGCTGGACTAGGCACAAATGACGATGAACTTATGCGTGTAGTGGTTTGGCGGTCAGAGGTAAGAGGCTGTTTGCCTTCATTGTTGCTGAATCGTTCCTTGTGACCTAAGCAGTCATCTCTTTATCAGCAGCTGGACTAATCTTTGATTTTACTGGAAAAATTATGCGCCCTCCCGATCGGTAACGACGAGGGAAGGAGAGAGGTTCGAGAGATTTACGAGAACTTTCAATTTAATATTTCAGTAGGATCCTACTCCACATTGTAAAGAAATGAATCGGGAATACGAACCAAGTGTTAAGAGAATAAATAAGGGAATCCTATATTGAAGTCGAAACACCCTTCGACTGTATAAATAAATAAATACATCGTATATTTAAGGCCCAAGGGGCCCTTTCATTACAAACTTAGTGCTAACGTGA